CAGCATCATTAAGTCTGAAAGTATGCTAGTAATGAAGCAGTAACTTATAACTAGTATTATTATTTTTTATTAAGGCATTATTGATATACATTCTTATGAAGGTTGCACATAAAAAACAATGTGGTTACTACATTCACCCATATTATCGAGTCCCCCCTCTATACCCCATTGCAGTCACTGTCCATCAGTGTAGTAAGATGTCACAGGGTCACTATTTGCCTTCTCTGGGCTACACTGTCTTCCCCATAATCCCCCTCACACCATGTGTGCCATCATAACACCCCTCAATCCTTCTCCCTACCTCCACACCCGCCCTCCCCCACACCTCCCCTTTGGTAACCGCTAGTCCCTTCTTGCAGTCTGTGAGTCTGCTGCTGTTTTGTTCCTTCAGTTTTGCTTCATTGTTTGCTCCACAAATGAGGGAAATCATTTGGTACTTATCCTTCTCTGCCTGGCTTATTTCACTGAGCATAATATCCTCCAGCTCCATCCATGTTGTTGCAAATGGTAGGATTTGCTCCTTTCTTATGGCTGAATAGTATTCCATTGTATATATGTACCACATCTTTTTTATCCATTCATCTACTGATGGACACTTAGGTTGCTTCCATTTCTGGGCTATTGTAAATAGTGCTGCAATAAACATAGGGGCACATGTCTTTTTGAATCTGAGAACTTATATTCTTTGGGTAAATTCCTAGGAGTGGAATTCTGGGTCAAATGGTATTTCTACTTTTAGTTTTTTGAAGAACCTCCATATTGTTTTCCACAATGGTTGAACTAGCTTACATTTCTACCAGCAGTGTAAGAGGGTTCCCCTTTCTCCACATCCTCACCAACATTTGCTGTTCCTAGTCTTTCTAGTGCTGGGCACCCTAACTAGTGTAAGGTGATATCTAATTGTGGGTTTAATTTGTATTTCCCTGATAATTAGTGATTTGGAGCATCTTTTAATGTGCCTGTTGGCCACCTGAATTTCTTCTTTGAGGAATTGTCTGTTCATATCCTTCACCCATTTTTTAATCGGGGTCATTGAGGAGTGTGAGTTCTTTATATATTTTGAATGTTAACCCCTTGTCAGATATGTCATTTACAAATATATTCTCCCATACTGTAGGATGCCTTTTTGTTCTGCTGCTGATGTCCTTTGCTGTACAAAAGCTTTTTAGCTTGATGCAGTTCCATGTGTTCATGTTTGCTTTTGTTTCCCTTGCCCAAGGAGATGCGTTCAGGAAAAAGTTGCTCATGTTTATATTCGGGAGAATTTTTGCCTCTGTTTTCTTCTAAGAGTTTTATAGTTTCATGACCTACATTCAGGTCTTTGATCCATTTCAAGTTTATTTTTTTTATGGGGTTATTCTCTTGCATGCAGCAGTCCAGTTTTGCCAACACTGGTTGTTGAAGAGGCTGTCATTTTCTCATTGTATGTGCATCGCTCCTTTATCATATATTAATTGGCCATATATGGTTGGGTTTATATCTGGGCTCTCTAGTCTGTTACATAGGTCTGTTCTTGTGCCAGTACCAAATTCTCTTGATTACTGTGGCTTTGTGGTAGAGTTCAAAGTCATGGAGCATAATCCCCCCAGTTTTATTCTTCCTTCTCAGGATTCCTTTGGCTATTTGGGGTCTTTTGTAGTTCCATATGAATTTAGAACTATTTGCTCTAGTTCATTGAAGAATGCTATTGGTATTTTGATAGGGATTGAATTGAATCTGTAGAATGCTTAGGGCAGGATGGCCATTTTGACAATATTAATTCTTCTTATCCATGAATACAGGATGTGTTTCCATTTATTGGAATCCTCTTTAATTTCTCTCATGAGTGTCTTGTAGTTTTCAAAGTATAGGTCTTTCCCTTACTTGGTTAGGTTTATTCCTAGGTATTTTATTCTTTTTGATGCAATTGTGAATGGGATTGTTTTCCTGATTTCTCTTTCTGCTAGTTCATCATTAGTGTATAAGAATGAAACAGATTTCTGTGTATTAATTTTGTATCCTGCAACTTTGCTGAATTCAGATATTAGATCTAGAAGTTTTGGAGTGAATTCTTTAGGATTTTTTATGTACAATATCATGTCATCTGCAAACAGTGACAGTTTAACTTCTTTACCAATCTGGGTGCCTTTTCTTTCTTTGTGTTGTCTGATGGCTGTGGTGAGGACCTCCAGAACTATTTTGAATAAAAGTGGGGAGAGAAAGGCGTTCAGTTTCTCACTGTTAAGTATGATGTTGGCTGTGGGTTTGTCATATATGACCTTTTTTATGTTGAGGTACTTGCCCTCTATCCCATTTTGTTGAGAGTTTTTATCATGAATGGATGTTGAAATTTGTTGAATGCCTTTTTGGCATCTTTGGAGATGATCATGTAGTTTTTGTCCTTCCTTTTGTTGATGTGGTAATTTATCATATATTAATTGGCCATTTATGGTTGGGTTTATATCTGGGCTCTAATTTTTTACCATCCTTGCATCCCTGTACCAGATTTTCTAATATTGTACCATCCTTGCATCCCTGGAATAAATCCTACTTGATCATGATGGATGATCTTTTTGATGTCTTGTTGAATTCAGTTTGTTCATATTTTGTTCAGTATTTTTACATCTATGTTCATCAGGGATATTGGTCTGTAATTTTCTTTATTTTTGGTGTCCTTGCCTGGTTTTGGCATTAGGGTGATGGTGGCCTCATGGAATGTGACTGTTTTGAAGTCTATTTTGTCTGATACAAGTACTGCAACTCCTGCTTTTTTCTCCTTATTGGTTGCATGAAGTATCTTTTTCCATCCTTTCACTTTTAGTCTGTGTATATCCTTGGGTTTGAAGTGAGTCTCTTGTAGGTAGCATATAGACAGATCTTGTTTTTTATCCATTCAGTGACTTTATGTCTTTTGATTGGTGCACTCAGACCACTTACATTTAGGGTGATTATCAATAGGTATGTACTTATTGCCATTGCGGGCTTTAGATTCATGGTTATGAAAGGTTCAAGGGTAACTTCCTTACTATCTAACAGTCTAACTTAACTCAGTATGCCATTAAAAACACAATCTAAAGATTTTTTTTTCTCCTCCTCCTTTTTCTTCCACCTCCATTATTTTTATATTAGGTGTCATATTCTATACTCTTTTCTATTCCTTGACTGACTTTTGGGGGTAGATGATTTAATTTTGCATTTGCTGAGTAATTAATTGTTCTACTTTCTTTACTGTGATTTTATTATCTCCGGTGACAGCTATTTAGCCTTAGGAACACTTCCATCTATAGAAGTCCCTCCAAAATACACTGTAGAAACGGTTTGTGGGAGGTAAATTCTCTCAGCTTTTGCTTATCTGAAAATTGTTTAATTCCTCCTTCAAATTTAAATGATAACCTTGCCGGGTAGAGTATTCTTGGTTCAAGGCCCTTCTGCTTCATTGCATTAAATATATAATGCCACTCCCTTCTGGCCTGTAAGGTTTCTGCTGAGAAGTCTGATGATAGCCTGATGGGTTTTCCTTTGTACAAGATTTTTTCTCTCTATGGCTGCTTTTAAAGTCTGTCCTTATCCTTGATCTTTGCCATTTTAATTATTATATGTCTTGCTGTTGTCTTCCTTGGGTCCCTATTGTTGGGAAATCTGTGTACCTCCATGGCCTGACAGATTATCTCCTTCCTCAGATTGGGGAAGTTTTCAGCAATTACCTCTTCAAAGTCACTTTCTATCCCTTTTTCTCTCTCTCTTCTTCTGGTACCCTTATAATATGAATATTGTTACATTTGGTCAGTTCTCTCAATATTCTTTCATTACTAGAGATCTTTTTTCTCTCTGTGCCTCAGCTTCTTTGTATTCCTCTTGTCTAATTTCTATTTCATTTATTGTCTCCTCCACCATATCTAATCTGCTTTTAAAACCTTCCATTGTGTTCCTTAACAGTTGGATCTCTGTCCTAAATTCATTACTGTGTTCTTGAATATTTTTCTGTATAACCAGGAGCATGTTTATGGTTTTTATTTGAAATATCTTTCAGGAAGATTCATTATTTCAGTCTCACTTGACCCTACTGGTGTTTGTGGGATTTGGGTTTGAACCAGTTTCCTTTGATGTTTTATATTTGTATGTGGTGCCCTCTAGTGCCCAGAAGCTCTACTCTCTGCAGCTGCTCAGCCCCCAGAGCTACGTCGGGGGTCGCAGGGGAGCGGTGCTGGTGCCTGGGGTGAGGAAAGATCTGTTTCCTGCTTCCCAGATGCTATGCCTGTCTCCCCGGACAGAACCTCTGGGCCAAACATACAGGTGTAAGCCTCTAGGCTTTGCATTTGTAGCTGCTATAGGTGGGGCTTCCCTCTGGCTGGCTGACGCCAGGGAAGGGGCTGCTGATTTGCAAGCCAGGTGTGGGCTGGCCAGGAGGAAGGCGCAGCAGGCTGCCCATCATGGTGGGAGCCTTGGATCTGCATAGCCAGCCAGTGGGATGGAGTGCCTGCAGCTTCTGAATGTTCCCAACCTGTTGGGCAGAGTGAGCCTGGACAATTTTGTCTACCTGTCCTTTCTCCTAAGCAGTGAACTCCATGCAATTCTTGCCCCTTTAGCAGCCCTCCTGCTGTTAGGTAGTCTCTCAGACTGCCTACCTTTCTTTTGTCCCACAGCAGCCAGATATGGATCCTTGTTTTCCACAAGTGACTGGAACCTTGTTCTCTCCAGGTATTCTGCCTGTATTAGCTTTCCAACCCCACAAATCACCAGAGCACCATGCAATGTAGGTTTGCGCTCCCAGAGCAGATCTTCAGGGCTAGGTGTATGTTACCGTGTTCCATGAGGTGTGTTCTTTTCTCCAGGTGCATTCAGTGTGGCATAGCCTTCTTTCCTGTTGCTCTTTCAGGATTAGTTGTATTAATTATATTTTCATATTATATGTGGTTTTGGGAGGAGCCCTCTGTCATGCTGCCATCTTTAATCCCTCTTCCTATAACTAGTCTTATTACATTAAATAGTATTATTAAACTATTACCATTTGTGGTACTTACCTGTAGTCTGGTGAAACTTTTTAACCAGATCTTGTATATCCAGAGAAGTATTCTCTGAAGGAATAAATACAGGAAATCAGACACATAAAATTCCCAACTTAAAATGATTCTTACTCAAAGCAACAAGTAGTAATCTAAAGCAATAACAAACCTTCTCTAAATACAGTAAGTTCTTTAAAATAAACTTCTGCAAACTGGGTGATGTTTGGCGGATTGGTCTTAAGAATAGCTCTGCTAACTCCCTCCAGCAGAGTCGTGAGGCCATAAGGTATGATAAGTCTGGACTTTGGAGAGATCATTTTGGCAGGATGTCTATAATCTCAACTATAATGAAGAAAAACAAAGTCTTATAAGTAGTGTGTTAGTTTTTTATTAAAACATTTCTTATGAGCTAACTATAGTTTCTAAGAACAAATCTATTTCCTGCTGAAATTATTACTTTTTAGCTCCAACCTCTAGTTATTCTATTAAAATGGGCTAATTCTTGATGGAGATTTAAAGAAAAAAACCACCACCGACAGCATTAGTACAGATGAGCAATCCAATACTTTTAACAAAGAAAGATAAATTAATCTCATTTATCTGTGTCCAAACAATATCCTTCCAAACCACATGAGCAGTGGTTTTTCAGCTACAAAGTAGGGTTCCTACAAGAAAATGTTTTCTTTCCTCATTTTTCTAGATACATTCCTGGGCACATTGATCATCTTCAAGTATATATATTTTAGCTGTCAATGTAATTTGTTTTTAACATTTATCAGTGTAGGCATAAGTTTTTTGTGGTATTATACCATCTACCACCACATGTACCTCTTTTCTCATATTCTCCCTAACCTCAACCCTAGTTTTCCCCTATTTCCCCCTTCTCCTACCTTTTTAATTAAAGTATCATTCACAGTGGTTCAACAGTTACCCATATCATTAAATCCTCACCCCTTCTAGTGCGGTATCTGTCAACATTGTAAGATGTTACAGAATTATTGCCTGTATTCTCCATGCTGTACTACCATGCCCATGACCAACTTATATTGTGATTGGGAATTATTGTGCCCCTTCCCCCCTCCCCCATCTTCCTGCCCCAACCCCTCCCCTTGGTACCTTCTCAGTGTCTGTGAGTCTACGACTATTTTGTTCCTTCTGTTTTGCTTTGTTTTTATACTCTATAAATAAGTGAAATCATATGGTATTTGTCTTTCTCCTACCTTTTTGCATTTTAAATAGTACCAAGGATACTGCATAGTTTAACCTGTAATTCTCAGAGCTGCAGAGTTGGCAGCCCTAAACTGTGTATCAGTGGGTTCTGTTTCATTCTAAAAAATTATAAATACACATAAAGAACAAAATTAAATATTTAAGGAAGTCAGTTCAGTGGTAAGGGAAAAATTAAGGCAGAGAAAATAGGAAGAAGCTACAGGTCCCATTAGCCCTCCAGTACAAGCCATAATCTTGAAGAGAGATGGGGTGTCAGATCAGCTCCTGAGCTACCAAGCAGTCATCACAAAATAGGAAAAACAGTTGGTTAAACAATTCAAGTTTTCTGAGATAAAAAACTTCAATTGCTTCAGAGAATCACAGCTATTTCAGACACTGTGACCCAGGAGAAATCTGTCCCTTGGGTCCTCATAAGGAGAATCTTGTGATGTAATGAACCCCCACCCTCAACAACATCCCTAGAGTAAAGTAACAAGTTTCATGGGGCTTAAGTGGCAGTTGAGTCACAGCAGTTGTACAAGGGCGAATCTTTAATAAAAAGCAACTAATGTATCACAGGAAAAATGCTGAATATTTAAAAGCACATTTTATCTCCCCAAATATCAGGAAAAAAAGTAATTTGTATTGGTCAAACCAAACCCTGTGAGAATATAATTAACTGTATTGAATTCTTAGTTGAAAATACTATAGGAGTATCAGTCAACAGGAGCTTTACTGAATTAAGCCATCTTCTGAAATACATGCTGTTGCTTTTGGCAGGCCCACATGCCAAATGTTAACTTAGGACATGGGCAGTAGTTACACACGTAATATACATATATACTTAATGTATGTTAAAAAAACATGTCAAATTTTTTTGCATTTTTTGCACGATAGGTCATGTTTTGAAAGTGGCTTGCCATACTGGAGTTAACAAAACAGCCTTTCTGTAGGTAGGTAGGTAGGTGGAGCGGCCACGCAGTGATTCTAACCGTTCGCAGCCCGGACTGCGAGCGTGCGGGCGGCTCCGTAGTGACCTAGGACCACGGGCGCTGAGCATCTTACGAGGCCCCGTAAAATAATCATCCTCAGCGGAGAAGAAATGCCGTCCAAACCTAACTACGTCAACAATACAGTCACAAATAGTCATTGAGAGTAGTTTAAAAGGAAGGGACCGCTTAATAATTTTCCCCAAATCTCTCCTTTAAAGAATATTTATCACAAACACATTTTACAACTCTATCCCAGCGCTAAACTTCCAAAGACCCGGCACCGCGGGCCTGACTCGAGCAGGAAGAGGGTCCCTGCCCGCCGACGCGAGAGCCCCGAGGAGGCCGCCGGCGCTGCACACCTCTCATTCCCCACAAAGATCTGCGCCGGGCTCTGCGAGCCCCACGCTGGCTTGGTCGCTCGGTTTGTTAGGTGGAGGGCTGTGAAAGGCGGAGGGCGGGCGTCCCGATTCCGCGCTAGGTCCCGGGCTCCGCCACCTTGCGGGCCAGCGGTTGTCACACTCACGGTGGCCCGGTACCTGCCCTCTGGCCTCCGCTCCGCCTTCCCCGATACTGGAGAAACCGCCCACAGGTGCCCTGCGCGAGACGCCCGGAGGAGGTGCCACGGCGGGTGGGGTGGGGCCCTCCTCCAAACGCCCCACCTCCTCCTTTTTCGCAGCACTCTAACAGGCTTTCTCGTTGCCCCCTGCGGGCGGCTTCGGTAGGAGCGCGCTCGCCCGCGGGGCCTTTTATACTCTGTGGACGCCAAGGGCGCGCGACACAAACCCGCCCGCGCGCCGACGCCACAGGAGGGGGCGGGGCCTCGGCGGAAGCCAATGGGGAACCGAAAGGGACAAAGCCCGGAACTCGGCGGCCCAGAAGGTGGGCTTCCTCTAAACGCAATCGGGCGTCAGGAAATCGGCGTCTCCAGACCGGTAGGGGTCCGGGAGCGTGCCCAGGCCACAGCCTCCCCGCCTTTAGTCGCTGAATCTAAAATAAAAGCTGGTCGGGAAGGAAGAAATAGATTTATGGCGGTTCTATCTCTGCGTCCCCGCTTCTCCTCCGCCCCACGCCCCAGATGTGTTACTCTCCGGAGCCGCCCTTTCAGAGTGATTCCTGCCACGGTGTGCACACCGCATCATGTAAAAAGAACGAACACTTAAACGCGCACATCACTTCTCCTCTTAAGAAAATCGCCTGTGGAAAGAGAAACCGGCCTTAATCCTGATGCTTCCAGTTTGTCGGTAACTGTGGTCTTGCAAATACCCCAGGCTCACCCGGTGCTCCCAAACCAAACCGTCAGGCTGCGGGTAGAGTGCACCAACTTCAGCTCCACTTTACCGAAGTGAGGGCACGCTGACTCATGATATCCACCTTTCACCCCTTCCGGCGCGCTTACGTGTACTGGGCATCAACACCGTAATCATGATCATCAGATTCCAGGCAGCCTTCATTGTAACCCATTTTCAAGTGTTTAAAAAACAAGAACCACTGTAAATCAACATTGAGTAGTATCATCAGGGCATATATACACCTAACAAAAACAAAAACCTCTCTTTAAATCAGAAAATGGCTTCCAGAGCATTTTGCAGGAAGCGGCAATGATGAGATCCGGTCTTCATCTATGCTGCACACAGTACTTTCTAAGTACAGCGTTAAATGGATTAATCCATTTAATAATTACTGAGTGCCCATTATGTGGCAGACAAGACCCCTTTTCTCATGAAGATTACCTTTTAAAAGTAAAAGAGAAATGCTCTTAAAACGGGTCTACAGATGGTAATTCTTTTTTTGTCCTTTGTCATTGCCTGCAGCCTCACTTCGGTAGTGTGAACAAAAGTGAGAAAATGAGGTCGTCATGACTTCTGGTGCTTGGTTTAGAATATACTTAAACTATCAGAGGTGTAATAAAACTGAGCTACTAAAAACCCAAGCACAAACATGAGCAGCCACTTACGGTGTCTTTTGGAATTAGAGGCATTTATGCTTGTGTAACCTAACCTTGGGTCATCTCGAGCACCTATTAAAATGTTAGGCACTGTAACTCACATGTGACTCAGAAAGCAAGTCCTTTACTCTTCCCATATTTCTGCGGTGACTGTTTTAGCCAAGAACCTCTGAAATGTCAACTTACAGTGAAAACATTTAATGAAAAATTTTCAAGCCACTATTTGCTGCTTTGATTTCTAGACCTCCTCTAACAATTTGATGTAGTTTTACAGTCTCCTTGTCCTTAACGTTCATCTCCCTTTCGGTCAGTATGGCTCTAAGTAAAATGCAAATCTACTTTGTTCCCCGTTACTCCCAAATCCTTACATTATATAAGTCCAAGGTTCTTGGTGTGACCTCTATTACTATCTTATCTTACTATTTCTTTCCCACTAGACTCTATAAGAAAGACTGGGCCTGAACTCACATGCTGTTTGTCACCTCTGTGCTTGTAGTAAAGCTCACCTGGGTTACAAATCCCGAGTCAAGTAGGGGCGGGAGCTCAGGCGTCTTGCTAGTTTCCACAAGAAAGCTAATTACAAGGCGCACTGGGTAAGTTTTTTGCATTTACTGAAGGGGCACATCTTTGATGGACCCACTTGCCACTTGCTTGCTCTCTGTCCTTTTCTCTTTCTCTGTTTCCTCCCCCTAGTTACTGAATCTCTTCCCTCTACTATGTATTTCTTGGGATGATCTGGGCTTAATATTTTTCCTACAAAATACACCAATAGGATCCCCCCATCAAAAAATAATAGTACCAAACAGCACATTATGACTCTGAATGTGTATCTCCATGGATGCACAGCCATACCTGAATACTTGCCACCACAATTTGCTTAAGGACACAAGCAACTAGGACAGTTATATAGCAAAAGAATATACGTACATGTACATACACACACACACACATATGTATGTGTATTTCAAAAATCAGATACGTGTGGTCTTTTCACTTCAGTTGGCAGAGGTATAAAAGTAAAAATTCTGTAAATAATTGACATACAATATGCAAAAACATTAATTTCTGTGACATGTGAAGTAAATGTTTGCTCAAATACTTAGCTGTTATGTCCTAAATTAAAAGATACCTAACTCAACAAATCTTAAATATAGTAACCACAAAGGTATATACTACATTAGATGATGCCTCCAGGTGTGTCAAATTATAAATGTGTTGAGTACATAAAATATATATTTTTCTTATGATGGGCACAATCTAATGTATATCTGACACTTAGAAGATCCATGGGAGAGCATCAAAATAGAAAAGGGTAAGGTGTGAAGCCAACATAAAAAGCACACATACATGCAAAACAGCTGCTCTGCTTACATGATTTTCTTCGTCAGCAAGGGGCAAAGAGCAAATTACACCAAACCAAATTTCCAGGCAGATCACAGGAATTCACAAGTGGGATAAATCATAGCACACAGGCCAGTATCTGTTAGGAATTACTCAACTCCAAAATGTACTCAGATTTCAGTCAATCCAATGGTACAGTGTACCTGCTTGCCCTGTGGTTATTTTGGAGTCTTTAGAATTGTCATCTACCTCCTCTCTATGCTCTGCCACCATATGAACACAGATAAACCACAGGGCCTCTCCTGTCCCAGACCCAGGAGAGACAGTTAAAAAACAGACCTATTCTTTGACTATTAAAAAAAACCTACCAGTTGGCATGGTAAAATTCTGTATTCAGTTAAGTAAACTGAACACAAACTTAGTTGAAATCCTAAAATCTCTCTGGAGAAATAATTTTTTAAAGCAGTTAGTGCAGGAAAATTTTTTTAAAAACAATTCTAAACTACAGGGCTCTATGTAACCTTTGGATACTAAATAATAGTTTAAACAATATTTGAAACAAAAATCTAAATACACATAAACTCTGAAGAACTGCATGATTTGGAATTCTCCACAGTCCTAACTCAGAGGGTTTGCCACATATGCCACATACAGTCAAGAGGACAACAAAAGGCAAGAGTCATATTTTAAAGATTCATAATGTTCTCCCCTTGAGCCTTGATGAAAACAAATATTCAATAGTTTTAGACACCAATTTTTCTCTTCAGGAAGCATCTATGTGGCTTCTGGATCTACTCATTCACTGAATGTAGGATAGTAATCTTCTCTCTGGCTAGTACCTAAAATCCACGCAGGATTCACACCAGAAACAAGATCAATGTGAATAAACATGAAGACAGTTTAGCCAAAGTCAGTGAGGAATAATCATTTCTTTCAAAGAAATTATTCCCTAAAACCTAACTAGATTAAAGCTGCCAATATTTAAGCTGCTCCTCCCATGTTTGATTTTGAAAAGAACTGTTAAGGTGTAAACATCACATGAGATCATGCTTTAGCTAAAAAGGGTATATAAACAAATGATACCCCAAGAAGATTCTCTTTAGCTCAATATAAATTAGAAAAAAAAATCTAACTTTAACATTGAGCCAGGTTAGTCATACAATTATGGCTTACAGAAATTCTTAAGTGCCTGCGGTATTTAGATTCTTCAAAACCACAAGTATACAGTACTAGACAAAGAGGTAAACTAAATCACAAAAAAACTTAGCAACAAAGGATTAAAAAATAACTTAGAACTGCTTTTAAAGCATAACCTAAGCTAAGGAGAAAATTATTAAATCCTTCACTAGCATATATTTGAGGCAAAATCAAAACAAAACAAACCCTATATCCATTCAAGAATAACCCTTTCAAGTAATTTGCTAAAAGATTTCCGAAAGTTAGTGATTAGACAATTTATCACAAAGAAAGGGAAACTCCTGGAATGTAGGTATTATTTACCTAGTTGATATGCTAGACTTTCTAATAAATTGGCAAAGTAGTCATACTTTTGCTTGTAAAACTATCTTTCATTTGCTTCCATTTGGTTGGCTTTTGAAGAAAAAAATTGTTCCACACTTTGAAACATTTTGCAGGCAATCTGGAGATAAATATTTTTGTTGACATAACTTCAGCTGAAGAGCATTTGTTTTTTTTAATAAGGAAAACATGGAATCCTGGGTTATTAAAATATTTGTTACAATAAAAGAATATTTGGTCCTTGACCAGGAGGTCTGCATTCTACTCACTGCTTCACTGACAACAGGAATAATTAATTGGGTAAGTCCATTAGCCTTTTTGTGCCTGAGTTTCATTATCAGGACAATGGGGAAAGGATCTTTGTGCTGTGTTATTCACTGGAATAGTTTGGGAATAAAGAAAGACACTAGAAAGCACTTTTATCTTTCAAAACACAATATAAACACTATGTCATAACACTGTTAATCATTTTACAGGTACCTCTTAGTGTTATCTAGTCAAAGGTGTGCTTAAAGTAGGCATCCCTACAAGATCAGGTTGAATATTTAATTTGATTTTATTTTAAAAATAATAAATCACAAAACTAAAATGTTTGAACAAGGTCACTTGACCCTCTCCCCAGGTGGTTAGCTATTACCGTCATCATCATTACTCTTTAGCTGTAGGTTTAAAAGAGGAGATCTTTAATATGTCAGCGTAACTGGGACAATGTGTCCTTGGCACAGATGGTTTTCAGAAGAAAAGCCAATCTTCGTAAGAGCTGCGTCCTCTGCTTTTATTTTAAAGTGCAGAACCTTGATGGGGAGGGCAGGGCAGGGAGCCAAGTCTGTCACTGAGGGACCAATTCCCTCAGAGAGGCCAGAGCAGCATGGATGCGGACATGCAATCTGTTTTCAAAGTCGTAGCCAGAGAAATCCTCCTGTAAAACCAAAGAAAGATATTGACGGGCTCTTAGCTAAGCTTTCTGAAACACTAGTATAAACCACACCAAGTTTTGTTCTTCCCAAAGTAAAATCCTTCACACTCCACTTGATTTGCCTATTTGTTCTTCCCAAGTAAAATCCCTTTCATATCCACTTGATTTGCCTATTCCCCAAACCTCAAACTTAGTGTTCATTTTTTCAATGCCAACTGAATGTCAGTCATGCTGACACGAGGGAATGACAGTCTCCCTTATGTTATTCCTGGAATGGTAGCCTTAAATTGTGCTCAATATAAGTTGCTGTTAGAAATTCTTAATTCAAGAATGTAGTTATGAAATCAGTTATTTTCCCACTCAAACAAGAAGAGTATTTATAAAGCAGGATGAGCAACTGCACACATGTTTTGCCTGATATTGGTAATTTCACTTAAAAATCAAGTGCTCGCTGATTCAATCAGTTATACTTTTCCTTTCCAGGACTATCAATCAGAACAGCCATTTCACAAAATTTCTTGAATTCAGACTCAAGTGTACACTTCAGAGGATAAGAAGGGCCACTGGAAAGAGGCAGAGTCAGTATTTTTACCTTTGCTTGAAGAAGAAGAGTTCTGCCTCTTGCTACAGTCTATGAATGTAAGAAAAACATATTCTCTCTTAATATCTGTACTTATATACACTCAAGCAGAAAATGCTATAAGACGACATGTTAATTAAAACAGTTCATAATAGACACAGAAGTGAGTCAACTGCTCATTCAAATATATGACTCAATTTTTCTTTAATGATGCTTGTAGTTTACATCAAGGCATTACTTAATCTTGCATAAGCTTCACTATTACTCTATAAAGGATAAAAATGTAGAAGAGTTATGTTAGTTTAGGTTAAGATCTTACTAAACAACCTAAAATTGAGGATAGTTAAAAGGTTTATTTGAAGTCAGTAAGTTATATCCCCTTTTGAAGGCATTAATGATTGAGGACATCAACTTCATTTTTCAGGAAATAGACCAGTCTTATTATATTTTATGCATATATTTGAAGACCACAGTAAGAGCAAAAATTTCCTTAAAATAAAGAATATTGTACTGGGACGCCTGTACCAAAATTCACAAAAATTGCGTTTTTTATTTTGGTAAAATTAGAATTACAAATGAAAAGACTTACCAGTTAAAAACCTATCTTTGGCAAGATAAGCTAGGCTAGAATCCTATTTATGTTGATTTGTTACAACTTTTAGGCCATATCTTTGAAAGTGGAGTTGAACTTACTAAGCCAATATTATGTAACTGGGCTTCTAAAAGAAGGTACTGAGCAAATCCAGCATTACTGAAATCTTATTTTTAAAAACGTCCCATTGTACTTAGATATCTTAATAGTAACTGTCAAATTTATATGGCATTCTAAAATTTTTAACGTATTCATCTATGTCGTTCTCATTAATTCTCACTATAATCTTCATTAATTGTCAAGGGAGGCATTTTAAATTTTGTTTTACACATTAGGAAGAAGGTATGCAGTTAAGTAACATAACCAGTATCATAAAGTAAATGGCAGAGCAAAATCATAATACAATTCTGTATGCTTCCGAATAAACCACACTACATTATATCGTACCATTCTAAAAAAAAAAACCCCTCAAACGGAGTTTTGTCGCAAAAGTCACATTTCTAATTCTACTTCCAGAGAAGGAATTACCTCCTTAAACACAGTAAGATAAGATTAGTAGTTTCTCAGACTCATTCTATTTGAAATCAAGGGGGAAAAAAGAAAACCCACACCATATTCAATTCAATTTACTTTACATGAAGGATGCTTTGCATTTGCTCACTTGTACTTCGTTGCTGATGAACATAAAGTAAGGGAATATGTAAGATCTTACCTCTGGTTTGTCTAATAGAAGACAGCCAAGTTCATAGCAAGCATATGGCTGAACGTATAAGTTATTCTGACGACACAACTCATCTTTAGCAGCTCGCTGGAAGAACTGGAAATAATACAATGTTACGGAAACTGATCCATTTCCCTACTTAGGCTCATCTTCCTCGTTTGGGCTCAGCACATGTTCAGGAGGCATGCAGAAGGGCTCACCTTATTTCTATATTTTATATCAAATTTTCTCTTCTTTTTGCATCTTTTGCCTCCCATCCATCCTCATCCATATCTTAGAAGTCCTTCCCATGCTTGTCTGGTGAGCTTCCTCCAGAATATACTACCCATCACCCGTCAGCCCTATATGTGCTGCATATTTCTCCAATTAACACAAGCCTCTACTGACTTTATTGCTGAGAACATCTTTATCTGCATCTCCAAGCCTGAACATCCCATTTTAATATTCAAAACAGAAAGCACACACACCAAGAACCATCTCTTGACATGTGTCTTGACTGTATCTTGCTGATATTCAAGCATATGACCTAAGCCATTCTAGAGCTTTGTAATAACTACTACAATCCCACACTGAAAAATTATCTTAAACTTATAATACAAATACATCAACACTCTAGGATTTAAAAGCCAAAGGCTCCTATTATTGTACATGAACTCTTCCAAAAAGTAATCAAATACTGGGATAAACTTCAAAAAAAACCAACTGTTCTTTTAAACTAACATTCTCGACCTCACCACCCATTCTGCATCAGTGATCTGCAGATACAGAGGCAGGACAAGTGAACTCACTGGGACACCTGGTCGTTTTTGTACTTGTCTAACTGCAAGGCTTCACTTTGCTCCATCAAAGTAGTCTCCATCCTCACTCCCTTCTCCTCCAGTTTGGACTTCATCTTTGGTAACTAGCTAATGCCAGAAAAGAGGCCCATGTGTAATGTATTCTAGCCACCTTACGTCAGTTAGAACGTGGGGCATGCCATCATCAGCTTCAAGCATCTGCGAAGGTGACATGAGTCAAATAAAAAGATAAAGCTCCCATTGCAGGTCTGCCTCTTTAATGCTTTTTCCTTGTTCTCATTCACAAGCACATACATAGGTCTTCACAGTTTACTTTCTTCAGCCATGACAAAAGCATTAACAGTTTACCTGAATGGCATCTTCTGAGTTTCCTAGACATTTGTGTATGGCGCCAAGAAGCAAATACTTTAATCCAACAACAGATGAATCATCCACTTCATGGCAAGCTTAAAGAGAAGTGAAAACAGCAGGAAGGAAACATAGGTACTTAATTCCTTAAATGTCATCAAGAGGTAAGTACTTTACTGTCGAGTGACTTACTCAGTTCAAGAGTCTGCCCTCTCAGACAATCCCCCTTCCTCATCCGCCAGTGAATGTCCTTAGTCAAAGAAAAGCAACCATCTCAAACTTCAAAGCACCAAGAAGACTCAAAATTACATCATATTGTTAAGAAGCCAGTCTGAAAAGGCTATGTACTGTGCGATTTTCCAACTACGACATTCTGGAAAAGGCAAAGTACGGAGGCAGGAAAAGGATCAATGGTTGCCGGAGGTCTGGAAGGAGGGATGAACAGGTGGAACAAAGAGGTTTTTTTTAGGGTGGTTAAACTGTGTGATACTCTCTGTAAGAGTGGATACATGTCATTGCACATCTGTCAAATCCCATCAACGTACAAAGCAAAGAATGAACCCTAATGTAAAACTATGGATTTTGGGTGGTAATGATGGGTCAGCATTGATTCATCAGCTCCAACAAATGTACCATCCTGCTGGGGCTGCTGATGGCTGGGGAGGCTGTGTGTATGGAGGTGGAGGAATAGGTATGTGGGAACTCTGTACTTTCTGTTCAATTTTGCTGTGAACCCAAAACTCCTCTAAAAAATAAAGTCTAGTCAAATATTTTTATTCACATATTAATTTCACAAACCATGCTGCAATGGGCATATTTACATGTTTACACAAGGCAATGCACGAGTCACTGAGAAAGGATCAGACCTGATCCCACTTCAAAGAGCTTACCTGGGGGAGCAAGTGCACGTGCTGGAAGAGGTCACACAAGTTTTCTAAGGAAATGAAAAGGTGGGAATTGGAAAAACAGTGAGGCTAACAGAGGAAACGAAGAGAATTATTTCTATGGGCCAAGAAAGACACTGAGATTTGATAAGATTTTAAAAGTAGACACATACTTACATATACACATACATATGCCACATACACAAATTTCTATGTATGTGTGTTTGTGTATATATATATATATATATATATACACAAACACACATATAGAATGCTCAAAGTTCCAAAATAAGTGATTGGAAGGAACTGGAAGAAGTGAGGAAAGCAGCAAGAAGGCAATGTGAAAAGCAAGAGTCTGAGCCTATAGGAGCAGGAGTTGCCTTAAAAAGCTAAGCTCTGATTTCCTCCACATAAAAAGAATCCCAAAGATCTTAAGGCAACAGTGCTATGGGGAATGCAGTTCACATGCCCACTCATTCATTCAATATTTACTGAGAACCTACTGTGTGCTAGGTGCTTGGAACAGAGCAGTGACAAAACCAAAAAGTCCTGCCCCTAAGAATGAATGTTTAGTGGAGGAGAGATATGATATAAAAGACAAACAGGTAAAATATGGATATTAAGGAAGTGTAAATACTAAGGTAAAAAACAAAGCCAGGGTGGATGGGCAGTATGCATATGAGCCAGAAAAGTACTGAAAAGGTCACACTTGAGTAAAGACTTGAAGGAAGAGAGTGAGGGAGCCCTGTGGATGATGGGAAGGGCACCTGCAGGCAGAAAGAAGAGCAAGTGCAAGGGCACTGAGGCCAGCACCTGTCTGGAGCTCAAGGACAGCAAGTTGGAGTGTGGCTGGAGCCTGGCGAACAAAGGGGAAGGGCAGCGGGAGACAATGGCCTTGGAGGGGGTGGCATACCAATGCAGTGCATTGCAGGCCACCAAATGGACTTGGGCTTCCACTTTAAATGAGAAGGGACCAGAGAGCTGCAAAATGACAAGACATGACTTAGTTTAGTAGGATCCCTCTGGTGCTGTGCTGGGAACATACAGCAACACCTCTAAGATGCACAGTAAGAATGCAGTGGACAGGTGAGGCTGGCTGGGTAGGGGAAGGGCTATGACCAAATCCACAAGGCAAGCATGTAAGAAGCCAACCAGCTCACTGATGAAGAGGCTTACAGATGGGGACAGATTAGCAGAAGGCACAAAGCTACAGGAACTTGATGGAAAGGGTTTCATTAATGTACATAATTACTGTCACCCACTACCAGTTTTTCCTGGAACTTAACTATTTCTCTACAAGGACCTTCACTGTTCTCTGTGAAGAATCCATTCAGATTACAACATAATGCTGAGGAATGATAGAATCTAATTAATAGATCTCCAAACTGGGGTAATTTGTAACAAAGATATTAAAGAATTATGATTACTCCAGAGCCTGCCTCCTCCTTCATGACCACATTGTTATTTTGATACCTGGAATATTTAGTCACATTAAGTGCCTGTCAGTTACTGCCTATTTTACAATTTTATTTGTGTTTGAATGACCCTGCCGCCTTTGTGCGTTAAAAAGAATACTTAAAATCTTTCACTGTTTCATTGAATTAGGCACTGGTAGATATTCCAGACTTGCATCAGCAGTAGGGGTGGCTTCAATACTATGCATGTCCTCTTTCAAGGGACACAGCAGGACTTGGGGCTTCCCTTCAAGTCCCTCAGGAGGTTACAAAGTTACACCTGCTCCAGTTACAGGGCCTCTGCACCCAGCTTCTTTTGGAGTCGCATTACTTCCATCCCTGGAATACCAACACTGACAAAAGTTTTGCCCTTTGAGGGTCGACCTTCTGGGGGCAGGGGCAATAAACAAAACTGCAAGGATGTCTGATGATAAAGTTAGGTGATCTGATGACTATATTTGATCCAAAACAAGCGTGAGTGCAGCAAAACCTGACATATTACCTCAGTGATTAACAAGCTATTTTTAATAGTCCAAAATATTAATATGAAATCTCTTTTGAAAAAAGGACAGCATGTACGTGAATAGGAGTACACTTCCAAAAGTAATTACTTTCTATAAAACCATCTTTGGGGATGTATGTGCTTTTATTGTAACACAGCAGCTCATTTTGTAATTGTACTTCTAGCTACAGGATTTAAGTATCCTCATTCTCCTGGGAAGACGTGGATAGCTTAAAGCTTTGTCCCAACAGCAGCATTAACATTCACTCCTCCAGGGGCTGGGCAAGTCACCTACCTGTTCTGAGTCTCGGTTTATAAAATGGGTATTACTATATTGTCTTCCTTTCCCACTGCCCTGCACTGTCACATACAGCAAACTAAATTATTTGCCAGACTATATGAAGTGTCATTCAAATATCTGACATGAAACCTTTAGGAGAAATGTTACAGCATTTGTCGACCAATAAAGCTTTATTTTACTTAAAGGTTTAATTTATTCTCCCCATGAACTTTTCCTACAGCTATACTAAAAATGACTTCATGCAGATTATACTGCCATACCTAAGTCCTATGGTTTTTAAAATATATGAATAAAAAATGTAGGTTTCTAGCTATGTTCCTGATATTTTCTCAAGGGAAATGAGCATGTAATGTCCACACAAAAGGCTAGCACCCTTATGTTTGTAGCTTCTTTACTTCCGATAACTGAAAATCCAGAAATGAACCAAATGTCCATTAATAGGAGAATGAACAAATTGTGGTGTAGACAGAGTCTCATACAGTGAGAGTCACTCGGTAAGTAAAAATTGTGCTGATGCAGCTACAGCTCTGACCCATCTCGCAGGCTATGCTGAGCAGAGGAAGCCAAGCACCAAAGTGTACATACTGCCTGACTCCACGTACTTGAAGTTCAAGGACAGGCAGAAGTAATCGCTGGCAACAGCAATCTGAACAGTGTAAGTGGTTGCCCGGGGGTGGGGAGTGGCTGAGAAGGGCACCAGGGAAATTTCAGGAGTAGTGGAAATGTTCTGGACCTTGATTGTGGTGGCAGGTGCCATGGTGCATACATGAATCTAAATCACTGAACTGTATACTTAATAACTGCATTTTAATGAAAGTGAATCAAATCTATATGAAAAGGGCTTTCACTGGGGAAAAAAATGCATGCTGAGAGTAGCCCCATGGCTACAGGATGAACACCATTCACCATCAGCGCGCATGGCCACTGGCTGCTATAGATGCCAGCGTGCCTGTCCACATGAGTGTCAGCACCCGGGCGACCAGATTTTCTTAATCACTATGCCATTTATCCAAGAATGACAGATTTGTTCTCTCTGAGTCAGACAGTATTAACAAGAAACTGCAGAAATAAGCCAATGAGGTTTTTTTTTTTACCTTGACTCATCTTCTGTAGGTTGGGGAAGGAACAGTTTGGGAGGGCTTTCCACAAGTACAGCACTTCGATGGACGCCAGCACACAGAGCACTTGGGTTGGGGCCTGCTTGCGGAATCGCTCTGCCTACAAGTGGTTAGAATGATCAGGCTGCATTTTTAAACACAAATCCAGGTAAAAAATATATATACTTTGGAGATATTTAAAAGTGCATAGTTCATATTCGATGTGACTGACCCCTTCTTACAAAGCTCAAAGTGAAAATTTCTCTCTAAAAAATTCCTGGTTTCTAATTTTTAATATATTGGTAGATCTGCCTTTCATTCATCATTCAAGTCAATCTACTATCAAGATACAGAGTATATTCTAAAAGCTTGGGGATGAAACTAGATTCATTGCAGTTTAAATGAAAGGAATTCATAAAAAGCTGGGTGGCAAATAATTAATGGATTTACATGGAGGATATACTACTGGATGCTTTTTAGTTTTACAGACTTAAAAATTTTCTACTTAGTCCCACAGCTCTCAGTGGCATTCCACATTACATTCTGGTTTATACTGCAGCAGTCATTAAATGCTCATTTAACAAAAACTTGTAAAACTAAAATCATGGAAAATTCATAGTATGATAAGTTATCTGTAACCCACAGTAATTCAGTTAAATTTTATTCTTAAAAGTGTAGAATACATTAGGGACTTTTGTCCCTACAGTCCTGGGCCTGCCTTTCCACTGGTAAACTTCATTCACATTTTTGTTTTTATTAGGTCAAAATGTGACCCATTCACTGTATTGAGTTTGTATCTCTTGCCTAAGTTCTGCCAATTTGTCTTCTTCTGAAATGATAACCCTTTAGACAGATGCTTTCCCTTTCCAGATACACTCACTAGGTCCACAGGGTCTGTAATCATTCAACAGAAACATCTCATTCAACAGAAACTCATTCAAAGAAACGAAAACTGCTTTTACCATGTGTAGCCCAACAAGCACTTTCCATTCAGAGCAGACATATGAGCAACCGGAGTAAATTCTCCCCAGAGCAACAGCTGCATTGTTCATGACAAGTAAGTCACCAGCTATGAATATGATTTCCTAAAACCTGTCCAAGGTGTGCTGGTCGCAAATGCCTATCATAAAAAATACACCAGATCAATGCACTCTAACATACCTTTTTCACTGAGAATTGTTCAATCTGATTGTTTTTCCTTTTGAAGAGTTTCTGGACTTCCTTAAAGACAATCTGTGCCCCATCCACATCACCAGTGGCTCCCTGGCAAACTGTAAGAAACCATGGTTATAGTCTGTAAGTATTAGAGGGAAAATGCCACAAAGGGATACCTAGGTTGTTAACATTTGGAAAATGTTACCAAGGGAAAATGGGAGCAAATACTCTTAAAGACTGTTATGCAAAGGACTACACCATCCTGGCCATTGCCATTCGGCTCATTCAACAACTACATCCCAGGTGCCTGGGATCCCAGAGCTTTGTGGGGGCCACACGGGAAGGCCGCCTGCTCTCATTGGGGAGATAGACTTGCACGCACAGAATCCCCAGCTGTTATCACAGTGCATAGCTAGCTGGAGGCCACATGCTCAGAAAATGGAATAAAAAGGAGTCTAGGAAAGAACTCTGAGGAGGCACGGCAACCGTGAGAGCTTCACAGTGGAAGGAGGACACAGCTGGGTTCGGAAGAGAAAAGTTCTCTTGGAAAAGTGCAGAAACAGAAGGGATCACAGAAGCTTTGACAAGCTAGGAGTCCTTGGAGGATGGTACGATTTTGAAAGTCTGCACACTAGCTTCATCCCGCCCAAGTCCTGGGTGAAGACTTGATCATACGTATACGACTTATCTGCAGGGGATACATTCTCAGACCCCCAGTGGATGCCCGAAACCACATATAGTACCACACCCTCTATATGCTATGCTTTCTCCTATACAGATGTATCTATGATAAAGTTTAATTTATAAGTTAGGCACAGTAACAAATTAATAAAACAATTATAACAATATACTATAATAAAGTCATGTATATGTGGTCTCGGTCTCCCTCAAAATATGTTACTGTACTGTGCTCATGATGACGTGAGATGATAAAGTGCCTACGTGCTGAGATGAAGTGAGGTGCAGGGCGCAGGCACTGTGACCCAGGGTTAGGCTACAAGTGGCCTGACAATACATCTCAAGGAGGGTCATTTGCTTGTGCACCGTGGTTGGCTGAGTCACTGAAACCGTGGAAAGCATAGGACCACTACACTCCCTTTGCTCCACCTGCTCTCTCCCTTCTCCAGACCTCCCCTCGGCTCAGTCCCACCTCCCTGATGACACTCTGCCAACTACTTTTGTCACTCTCCTGCTGGTTCCCACAGCTCTGAACTCATGCCTATTATTCTTTAGTAGCTGTTGTCTCTGCCACAGGTAGTTTTCAATCCCCAGTTGAAATGCCCATTGATTTACTAATTCCTCCTTTATTCAAGCACTCCTAAAATGAGGTGGTCCTATAATTGCATTCTGGGGCTTGGTCAAGCAGAGCATAGAGCCATGGTGTGTCGGAGGGCAGACATCTATCAGCAGGGCCAAAGCAGCAGAAGCAGTAAGGCCTGGAGAAAACTGGGGACGCTGAGGTGACAGGAAAGGCTGAAGCTTTCCACTGGGACAAGCCTGTGCCTAGGACAGGAGGGGCCCTGGTCCAGATGCACAGGTCTGAACCCATCCACAAAGACCTCATGAGTCGCAGTTACAACATTTCAAACCCAGAAGGATGCTCAGGGAGTGTTTTATAAACCACCCCTGTTATGCTACAGATCAGAAGATGCAGAGGTCCAGGAAAATTGAAAGACTTGCCATTAAAAGTTAAGACAGTCACATAGTAAACCAATGAAAAAATAATAATTTCTGCTGCCTCTAGCTTGCGGTCTTCCTCAGATAACTGATAACATTTTTACAGAATCACATTAATATTAAAAAGTGAGCATATAAGAAAGAGAGCGTGTGCATGCACACACATGCCCACACAAGTCATAAACTGCAACATTATCAGTATCTGAACCAAACTTGAAGTTCTAAAACACTAATACCTCAGCTCCTGGGAAGAGCCACCATTTACTGCCTTACTATAGAATTACAGGCAGTTGCTTTAAGATGTTTGAAAGCACGAGCGTCTCTTAATTTATCCTAAATTGAAGACTTCAATGGAACTTAGAAGGCTTAACTCTTCCATTAAGTTTACACCCCCCCATAAGTGATATTCTAATCTTTTTTGGTACTTTTAGTTTTTACCTAATTTTAAACTTTTAGAAAATTTGCAAGAATAGTACAAAGATAAGATCCAGTATGCCTGCTTCAGTGCAGCATTACTCACAGTAGCCAAAAGGTGGAAGCAACCTAAATGTTCACTGACAGATAAATGGATAAACAAAATGTGGTCTATACTCACAATGGAGTACTATTCAGCCTTAAAAATGCATGGAATTTTGGCACCTGCTACAGCATGGATGAACCTTGAAGACATTATGCTGAGTGAAATAAATCAGTCACAAAAGACAAATACTGTATGATTCCATTTATACAAGGTACCCAGAATAAATTTATAGAGACAGAAAGTAGAATGGTGGTTGCGAGGGGCTGAGGAGAGGTGGAATGGAGAACTATGGTTTAATGGGCACAGAGTTTCAGGTTTTGGGATTATAAAGTTCTGGAGAATAGTGATGATGGCCGCATAACAATGTGAATATATTTAACGTCTCTGAGGTATGCATTTAAAAACAATGGCTAAGGTGGTAACTCTATGATACATATATTTTATCATAATTAAAAGAAAAAGTACAAGGAACTAAGCCTCCGGTGGCAGTGTCTGGCCCCTGAAGGCCCATCCTCTCAGCTCTTTCTGCCGACAGGTACCTATCTCTGGACCAACTCAGAGGGCAGCTTGCAGGAGATGCCTGCTCTAGTAGCCTGTGGGGTGAGCTGTCCCTTCCCCGCGTACTCTGCAGTGCAGCTGTTCACACTTACCATCTGCACAGAATCTCCTGGCGGAGGCAGAGGTAAGAGTCTTTCATGCTTTATCATGGTATAGCATCTGACTGGTATAATCCTGGGATTTCCAATATTTGAAGAATAAATGTTCCTCTTTACAACCACGCTATACATTCATTTCTTCATGTTCTACGCTCAACAAAGATTTAAAAAGCAGCTGTCCACGTTGGCCATGACCCAAATACACCTTAAGGACCACTGCGTGGTCAAGCAGGCCTCTCTTTTTGGTTCATGCACTCCTCAACGTGTTGGGCACACTGAGGCTGCTCAATAGATAGCTTCTACTTTCATCTGAGATGCCTGAGAATTCTTTGAAACAACACAAAGTGTGAGACACCAGTATGCTAACTTATACTGAAAACAGTCCTATTCAAACATCAGCTACAGAGCCATACAAGAACCGATACCCTGGGGGGACTGCAGTAGAGAGTATAAGGGGTATAAAGAGATCTCATACTCATTCGGAATGGCCTGCAGTTTCAGAACATCTAGGATGTACATATTGACTAGTTAATTCTACCGTTTTTTAAATAGATCAGCTAAGGGAATGGAATGACAGGAGATGTTCTGTTAAATACAAATATTCAGACAAATAAGGAGATATTTAAAATAATGTCTGGCTTAATCTTGAGTTTTAAGTAAGAGAATCAGTTATACGGTTGTATAAGGAGAATTGATCGCTAACAGCAGAAAGTGCACAGTCCCGGCCGGTACAGTCTTGCATCACAGAAGCACTTTACAGGGCTCGGCGCAGTTGGCCCTTTTACCCACCAGATGGCAGCATGTCCTTACGCCTCATACAAGGACAAGAAGGCTATGCGCACACATGCCTAGTAGAAATAACAGGTGTTTCCGCGGTAATGATACGCGAAGTTGCAATAACTTGTGCCTCGGAACTATGCACTTAAAAATGGCTAAGATGGTAACTCTCAACACATCATTGGTGTTAACAGGAAAAACAAGGTTGGAGCCAATGCTCAAAATCTATGCAACTTTGTAGCCTGGGCAACTAAAAACCTCAACAGAAGTATTAACACCATTTAAAAGACATGTTAAATTCCTAAAATTATTTCAACTCCTAAGAAGAATACAGTACAGAAAGTAAAGACTAGGGGTAAGGGTAGGCTGAAGTTGCTTCGCACAAAATGCACAAAAACAGGGAGAATGTCGTGATAAGCATTTCCAAGTCCGAGCATGTGACCAAAGCAGCCCAAGCGGCGCTCTGGGCAAGGCGCACGGCGCCTGTACGGAAGTGCCGTGTCGGCTGCGTCGGGGACGCTCGACTCGGCTCTTTACTGGTAGCATAATGCACTGACATACTGGGCAAACAGAGGAAGAACACTTCTGCGTCCTCCTGCCAAGGCATGTGAGCCAACGCAAGGTGGGGCCCCTCTACTCACCCCCAGTTAAGTAGGCGTAATAGCACTGGGACCACCGGGACTCATTTTTCAGCCTCTCAAAGGAATCAAAGGCATCTTTGAAGTTCAGCTCTATCATGCTGCACCAACCTATGAAAGAAACATTTTTAGTACAATAGCCCTCAAGTAGTGATTTATATCCCATCTTTACGTGACAAATCTCTGGTACTGCTATTTTTCACGGTGTTGTATTTTTACCACCTGAAAATTTAAACAATTATCTTTTCTCTCTTAAATATTTTCAATGTGATTCTGAGTAAGACTAGGCACTTGTGACTTCAATGGCTTAGACAGTACAGAAGAGGGACATAAACGTTTCTGTGAAAACGCTCCCATGTGCCTCCCAGCTGAGGTTACCCGGGCCGGGCATCGCTTTTCCCAGAGCAGGTACAGACCGAAATGCAGCAATACCCTTAGACGACATACACGGTGACCACCGTAGACACTCTGAAAGCACGTGCCTGCTAACGATTACTAGTAATTCTCAAAACTTTATGAGAAGGAGAGAGAAGCCAGTCAGAAGTTAAGTATGAGCCCACCCTCCATCCACAGGTTGGTAGTGGAGCTGAGAAAGGACCCATCTTTCCTGGATCAAAACACCATTAGACTGACGTTCAGGTCAGGAGGCACAGCAATGAAAATGCAAGGAATTCTGTACCCATTGTTTCAACAGTATCTCTCCTGCCCACCCCCATCCACTGAGCCCCTGCAGTGCCAAGCCTGTGCCAGGCATGTGACGACATGCGTTCTAATCCTACCAGGGTCTTGCAAAGGTGGCGGATGGTGTCCTCATTTTGCCAAGGAGAAAAACAAAGGCATGAAGGGGTTTTGTAACATGGCCAAGGCCACAAGGCTAATAAGAGGGGAGAACTGAGGATCAAGGCCATTGTTGCTTTCCGTCCACAATAACAGCCTCCAGAAAACACAGTTCCAGTACCAGATGTGCTGTGAGGTAGACAAGGCATGTGAGCCAACGCAAGGTGGGGCCCCTCTACTCACCCCCAGTTAAGTAGGCGTAATAGCACTGGGACCACCGGGACTCATTTTTCAGCCTCTCAAAGGAATCAAAGGCATCTTTGAAGTTCAGCTCTATCATGCTGCACCAACCTATGAAAGAAACATTTTTAGTACAATAGCCCTCAAGTAGTGATTTATATCCCATCTTTACGTGACAAATCTCTGGTACTGCTATTTTTCACGGTGTTGTATTTTTACCACCTGAAAATTTAAACAATTATCTTTTCTCTCTTAAATATTTTCAATGTGATTCTGAGTAAGACTAGGCACTTGTGACTTCAATGGCTTAGACAGTACAGAAGAGGGACATAAACGTTTCTGTGAAAACGCTCCCATGTGCCTCCCAGCTGAGGTTACCCGGGCCGGGCATCGCTTTTCCCAGAGCAGGTACAGACCGAAATGCAGCAATACCCTTAGACGACATACACGGTGACCACCGTAGACACTCTGAAAGCACGTGCCTGCTAACGATTACTAGTAATTCTCAAAACTTTATGAGAAGGAGAGAGAAGCCAGTCAGAAGTTAAGTATGAGCCCACCCTCCATCCACAGGTTGGTAGTGGAGCTGAGAAAGGACCCATCTTTCCTGGATCAAAACACCATTAGACTGACGTTCAGGTCAGGAGGCACAGCAATGAAAATGCAAGGAATTCTGTACCCATTGTTTCAACAGTATCTCTCCTGCCCACCCCCATCCACTGAGCCCCTGCAGTGCCAAGCCTGTGCCAGGCATGTGACGACATGCGTTCTAATCCTACCAGGGTCTTGCAAAGGTGGCGGATGGTGTCCTCATTTTGCCAAGGAGAAAAACAAAGGCATGAAGGGGTTTTGTAACATGGCCAAGGCCACAAGGCTAATAAGAGGGGAGAACTGAGGATCAAGGCCATTGTTGCTTTCCGTCCACAATAACAGCCTCCAGAAAACACAGTTCCAGTACCAGATGTGCTGTGAGGTAGTTGTGCCATCTTAGACCTGCTATTTGAACTGTGGTGATAAGGGGCACTCACACTTCTGGAAAATTCAGTGTCAAATTCTATGGGATAGGATATGAGGCTGACATATTTTAGAGTAAAAATTGGAGCTAATTATTTCCGCCCTATAATAGATGTCAAGGTAAGATTTAAACTGAATGCAAAATAGAGGTGGGAGGTGGTCTGGACCTAAGAGGCCTGAGTTATAATTTTGCTACTTCCCCACCTCCCCCAACCCCCCAACCAAGTTAACACTCCTAGGGCCTTAGCATTAGGTTCGATGGTTTCTAAGCTTCCTTCAGCTCTCACTGTCTGCACTGCCCCAGATCTTGAAACGGAGTACCAAAAATGGCCACCACAATCATTTTGCAACACATACATAAGTCAAATCATTATGATGTACATAGTCCTGCCATGTTACATGTCAGTAATACCTTCTTAAAAATGGAAGGAAAAAAAAGTATTAAGACAAAAATGGCCATCAAAGCTAATAATTCAAGTTCTATACCACAGCTACTAAACACAGCTCCAGCACAGTTCAGGTCACATCAAAATACACTTTCCACCTGTTTATACCTCCCCTCCCCTCCCCTCCCTGAACCACAGTAGGTATTTAAAACATAATTCTATTTATTGGGCAGTTCACAATCTTTCGGTTTGTACTTTTCAGTGAAAAGGTTCAGGACTGTGCACAGCAGGCGAGCACCTGAGGGTCTGGCCTGACGGCTGCCAAGTGCCCCCTCAGCGCTCACTGACTCTTCCAGTCTCTGCACTGCCGAGCCCTGGTTTCCCCCACTTCCTCTCGTGTCTCCTGTCTCTGCCCCTTATGCCTTCCCCGTGCACTGTATGATGCTACCGGTAGGGCTAATGCTCTAGAAAACAAGAACCTTTTACTGAAATTTGCTGTTGCTGTTTCCAGCCAAGCTGTGTTTACTCTCACCTACCTCACGAGCGACTGTTACATCAAAAGGTCGTGTTGTTGCTCAGGGAATGGGACAGGAGAATGTCAGGGCAGTCGGCACAAAACTCACAGAGCAACGACTCTGGGGAAGGAGAAGGGGCAATCTCAAGCAAAAACATACTCCCAAGCCTGTTTATATATTTATCTCCAGGAGGGGAGAAGCAGAGGGAAGCCGCTAAGGAGTGTGACAGGCTTTCTGTGTGGCAGGCACCGAGCCTGACGCTCACTGCTGAAATTTCATCTCAGCCTCCCAACTGCTACACGAGCAGGTGCCTTAATGCTACCGGCATCTCTGAGAGCTTACACATCTCATCCCAAGTCTCCAGCTAGTTGGTAGAAGAGCTGGACTTGGAATATCCCATCCTTCTCAGGTAAACTTTGTGGGAGGGAGAAATACTTTTGAATTCTAATGTGCAGTTCAGTAAGGTACAGTAAGGTATTTAGACAAATGGCTTTTAATCCATTTATTTAGCATTACTTATTCTAAAAATCAAAATGTTATAAAGAACAAATTATAAAGAGTAAGAATCACTGAGGTAAGTGTCATACTTGTGCTATGATAACAAAGTCCTATACTACAAAAGGCAGCAGGCACATCACAAAGATACAAACTGAACAGCATTAATACTGAAGTGCCAGGAACACACCAATATGTGCAGGACAAGAAGTTAGACACACATTTCATATTTACCGATTTCGTATAGACACACATGCTGGATTTCTCTCTGATCTACTGCAAGTTCCAAAGCAGTATGGAAGGAAGTCAAGGCACTGTTGATTTGACACTAAGGAGAAAATGAAAACAGAATACAGGTTACAATCTGTCATTATTGTTTCAGTCATCATCACTCCAGAGAGTTTTTTTCCCTTGGAGCTGTTTTAAACTGATTAAGCAGCATGGAAAAGGGTGATTTTAAAGGTGTCCAGGCCACATCTTCTGGCCTCAGCTGAGGGATGAACCTATGCCCTGGGCACTTCTCTGCTCAGGCAGCTTCCAACTGTGAGGACCCGGCTCACATCCAGCTTCAGACTCCTCTTCAGACTTGTACTTCAGCACCTGCTGTGTAACAAGTGTTTACCAATCCAGCTTCCTGTTACCAGGAAAGTTCTCCAAGGACAGGGACTGTCTCAGCCCCCTGTGCCAGCCACCAGGGCTGGAAGGACTTGGACAGTACTGGGCCACGGGGAGCCCTCCGTCAGCCTGGCCAGCCGCCTCCCACCCGTCCTGGACCCACTCGCCTTCTCCCCTCCAGTCAGCAATTTGAGAGCCCACACCCCAGATGCTGCTGATCATCACATTTCCCGTCCCAACACTTTGGGTATCTTCTGAGGACTGAGACTACGTGTCTGACTTCCGCATGCGTCTAGCACTGTCCAGAATCCCACAGACTCTCCCAGGGCTGCTCTACTTCTGCATGGCTAAATACATTCAGTGTTCCTTCTATTAATGGTCTCCTTCAAAAGTCTGCCTCCCCAATGCCACAGGTACCTGAAAAGCATCACCTGGCACAAAAGGTTCAGATTAAACCTCCAATGCCACAATGGGGGTGTGGTTATATGTATCAGTAAGAAATTCATCCTGGAAGCCCCAAAGTGCAGGCATAGCCTGCTCGCAATGATGCCTGGAGCACTCCCTGCTCCCCCTGGTGCTGGAGCCCGGCCGCCCCTGCCCTGCACCCAGCCCTCCCAGCCGCCTTGCTGGCCTCAGCTCTCCTTGGCCGCTCCCAGTCCAGTGAGCCTAAGGCCTCCGCTCCCCGCAGGCAGCCGGGCAGGGGCATGCAGAGAAGCTGCAGGCTTCCCTGAGGACCAGCCCCTACCACGTTCCTCAGCTCCCTTAGTGACGCGCGGTCACTGTAGGAGGACTCTCTGGACACAGCACGGCACACTGATGAGCCAGGGAGTGGGTCTGCAGGACAGCCTGTGTGTCAGGGACATCGCAGGCCAAACACTCATTGACCAAGGCCCGGGCGGATCACTACCTGTTCCCGCCCCACAGTGGTACTTCAGCCTTCTGTCAGGTAGACAGACTGTCATGTTCAGTCCCTTATCCCCAGCCATGAGTGCCGACAGAGGGCCCATCGCTGCATCACCAATTCCTGGTCCCAAGCAGCTTAACATCTGGTTGGAGGGACCCTCTTGGAAATGTGAAACAGGCCCACGACTCTGAGGTCCAACATTCACACTGATCGTCAGCACACAGCCAAGATCCCAAAGAGGTAAAATAAATAAAATCAATCTTTTCTGAAGAGTGTGTGTGTGTGGGTTTTGCAGAGAGAACGCTGGGCATTCATTCCCCCCATCTCTAACTTTTCCCTTTCTGGATTGATCGTTCTTTTCCTCCATCATACATGCACTCGATTTAGCATATTGACAGGAAACCACAGTGCCCGGGATTCTGCTTTGCATGCATCCCCCCAGTTTGCAAAGTGAATGCCACTCAACCGTCACACACAGGACATTTCTGGATGGGCCATCACCACCACGCTGTCCCAGCTGAAGGTACAGCTCGTGACAGTGTAATGCCATACTGCCCTCTGGGGGACAGAAAACTGCTCAGTGAACATTTATTAGGCAACTACGACGTGCATGGGATGTACCAGGCTCTGGAGCTATGAAGCAGCAGCAGAGCAAAGCTTTAAAAGCAAGTACAGGAAAAAGAGACCAAGTAATATTTGAATCAACATTTCTCTTAACCCTTTCAAAACCCTTTCAAAAACTCCTTGAGATAGGCATGTATTAGTTCCATTTTCAGATGCAGAAGTTCAGATGAAGTTCAAAGACTTTAAGTAACTTGGTCAAAGTCAACAAGCTAGCAACTAACTAGTATTCACTCCGCTCTGGCTGCCCCCAGAGAATTCTTTCTTCAGGGAGAGTGTATGCAGGTGTGATTAAATCAGGGCTCGTGAGATGAAGAGTATTATCCTAGATCGTCCAGGTGGGCCCACATGCCATCACAAGGGTCCCCAGCAGAGGGACTTGCAGCCTCACCTTGCACCCTGATGTTGTGGAGACACAGCTGCTTTCTTAAGCCTCGTGAACCAACCCCTACTAGCTTCCAACTTTCCTTCTGCAGCTTTCTCACCTCTCAGAAGTCACAGAGGGAGGAAGAGAATTGACACAGGCAGAGGAAGACCCAATGTGACCACAGAGGCACAGACTGGAGAGATGAGGCCACAAGCCCAGGGATGCCAGCGGCCACCAGAGGCAGAAACGATTCTCCCCTGAGCCTCTACAGGGAGTGCTGCCCCACGAGCACTCTGGTTTCACCCAGGGATACTGATTTTGGACTTCCGATCTCCAAAACGGTGTGAGGATCATTTCTGTTGTTATAAGCCGCCTCGTTTGTGCTAATTTGTTACACAGCCTCAGAAAACTAAGACAGCACACTTCTTTAAAAATTAAACTGTGAAGAAAGTACCAGTAGGCTGTTACAAGCACTCTGACAGAACGTGCAGGTACTGAGACCATTTACGGAGCCTAACGTCACTACCCCCACAGCAAGGTGACTACAGAATTAACTCGAGTTCTAGACTAATTTCCCATTAACAGCCAGTTAAAAAAGCAAAAACATATTTCCCCTTATTTTTCATGAAAATAACTAAAAATATAAATGATCTGTGGATGTTTTTACAACTACACATTATAATATCTGCAACTCAGCCAAGAAAGAATTATCCTCCATTTGATATTTGATTCACATTTTAAAAAAGAAATACATATACTTTTTTAAAGAAATAAATACACTCTGGCCTGAAGAAAATATAGGAAATGGGCTAATACAAAAAAGTCACGAAGAATTAAGAGAAGTACCATCCAGGCTTCTGTCTCACCAACTATGTATTGACAGGCTGCATCACAAAAGTTACTTAAAGCCTCATTTTCCTCACTGGTGAAATGAGAACAAAACATCGGCAAGTTTTATCTGAACCCAGAGGAAGCCCTCAAGAACAAAAGGGTAAGTCTTGCCAAATTAAATGGGGCATTTTTATCACCAAATTAAAATCAGCATGATTTATAGCTATACATTGTTACAAGAGATGTGGCACGTTTTTCCAATCATTCAGGACTTCTTTCTTGAGTGGTGTATTCCTAAGCATTTTATAACACCTGTGGCACTTGTGAAAGGGCTGATTCTCTGAGTGGCCCTGCTGGTATGTAGGAAAGCTTTATGTTTTTGCAATTTGATTTTGTATGTCACATTATCATACTCATGAATTCTCATAGTTCATTTTTCGTTTTGTTTGTTTTTACTTTCTCTTCTCCATTTTCCAGGGAGATATTCAAATCATTTGCAAATAATAACAGCGTGTCTCTTTCTCTACAGGAGACTTACATAATTGGCCAGGACCACCAGTCTTGGATACTGAATTTTAGCAAGCACAGTACCCACCCTTGCTTTACTCTTGTCTTTAATGACAACGTTTTAATGTGTCATTAAGTACAGTTTGCAGCATGTTTTTAGTAGATGCCATTTTTACCAAATAGAGAGACTGCCTTTCCATTTCTAATTGGCCAAATGTTTGGTTTTCTCAGAAGTGTGTTTCAGTAAATGCTATTTGGGTACCTCCTGCCGGATCGTATGGCTTTATCAGTTACCTCCTTAATGTGGGGAGTAGGAGCAGTGCATTTCCTAAGGCTCAGTCGCACTTGCCTTTTTGGAATTGCCCTCCTAGGTCATATTGCAGCACTTAAAAAATACATTCTTGGGTTTGATTTGGTAATATTTAGAATCTCTACATTCAGAATTAAGTTGACCTATAGTGTTTTATTTGATTTAGTTTAGCTCTCCTCTAAGAGTCCTGGTATCCGGATAATGCCAGAATTTGCAAACGCAGAAGGTACAGGCAGACCTCCTTTTATTACACTTCACATTATTGGGCTTTGAAGATACTGTGTTTTGTACGAATGGAAGGTTTCTGACAACCCTAAATTGTGCAAGTCTATCGAGCCATCTTTCCAACATTATTCACTCACTTCATGTCTGAGTGACTTCACTCACTTTCACATTTTGGAAATTCTCACAATTTTTCAACTCTTGTCAGTGTATTTGTTACGGTGATTTGTGATCAGTGATCTTTGTTGATGAGTACTGCAATTGTTCTGGGGTGCCAAAAAGCACCCCTATGCATGGCAGAAACCTGAATGGATAAATGTTGTGTGTTCTATTTCCCTGACTGGCCATTTGTTTCTCCATCTCTTTCTCTCTCCTCAGGCCTCCCTAGTGCCTTGAGGCACAACAATAATGAAATTAGGCCAATTAAAAAACCTACATTGATATCTAAGTGCTCAGGTGAAAGGGAGAGGTGCATGTCTCTCACTTTCATCAAAAGCTAGAAATGATCAAGCTCAGTGGGGAAGACATGTGGGAAGATGTGTGGAAAGCCAAGCAAGGCCTCTTATGCCAAACAGTTAGCCACGTTGTGGATGCAAAGGAAAAGTTCTTGAAGGAAATTAAAAGAACACATGAGTGATAAGAGAGAAAAATAACCTTATTGTTGATATGGAGAAAGTTTTAGTGTTCTGGATAGATTAAACCAGCCACAACATTCTCTTAAGCCAAAACCTAACCCAGAGCAAGGCCCTATCTTCAATTCTATGAAGGCTGAGAGAGAGAGAGGAAAGGAAGGTGCAGAAGATAAGTTGGAAGCTAGCAGGGGTTGGTTCATGAGATTTAAGAAAGAAGCCAACTGCATAACATAAAAGAGCAAGGTGAACAGCAAGTGCTGATGGAGAAGCTGCAGCAGGTTATCCAGAAGATCTAGTTCAGACCATCACTGAAGATGGC